GAAGGAAATTTAGGTAAGAAGATCTCTTTCTGTTTATTAAAAAAGTTTTTTAATAATTTTAAAAACTTTTTTGATAAACAGAAAAACTTTTAATTAAGTTTTTATTTTTAATATTAGCTATATTCTGCATGTTGTTGGTTTGCTGATTTAAGTACTATATACATTTTATTGAATAAAAATGTATAAATAAATAATCTTTAGTATTTACATTGTTTTATATTACAGAACAAAATAGTGAAACAAATCATGATCAAGTCTCGCTTGTAAAAGCTGCTCAAGAATTTTTTCTTTAATCACTCGATTATAGAAAAAAAAGAAGACGTTTTTAATTACTGGAAACATGAAGAGAAGTTTCCACTTCCAAAGAGTTAGCTCTTAAATTATTAGCACCTCCAGCATCCTCTGTATTTTTGGAGCGATTGTTTTCCGAATATGGAAATATTTTCGAGAAAAAGCGATCGAGGCTGTTACCTCAACGTGGAGAAATGTTACTATTTATTCATCATAATGGAAATAAATTTATAAATGAGTGATAAACTGATGTGTTTGTTGCATTTAAGTTTAATAGTATTTGAATAATAAATTATTATTAATAATAATAACAATTTTGAATAGAAATCATTAACATTCGAATATTTAAAAATATAACATTTCTTGTTATATTTTAACGGATATCGAATAATATTGATATCCGGCCCGGATAGCTTATCCGGGACACCTCTAATATATATGTATGTATATATATATATATATATATATATATATATATATATATATATATATATATATATATATATATATATATTTATTTATTTGTTTATATATATATACACCTTATGACCAATTCAAAATTTTTTTGTAGCATGCTAGAAAAAAAATTTCATTTGGTTTTAATATATAATATTATTTTGATATTTTGTAAGAGATTTAATTCAACATTTTAACTGAATGATAAAATCTTTTGATGCTCTACTTTTTTAATAAAATAAACAATACCTTAATATTAAAGACAAAAAATAATATTAAAAACATAAAAACTTATATATATAAATGATTGTATTATGTTTATCTGCAAAATAAATAAAAAGTTGTGAAAAATGGTAGTACTGTTGCCTAAATTTTTCATTGTCATTTGAAAGATTTTATATCATTTTAGATGCAAACTTTGATACATCAACTCCAGTTTCAAATCCAACTTCAGCTATGGAAACAAAGCACATTTTAGCGACATATGCTGATGTTTGTGCCAAAATAAAAGAACATGAGTTATTGCACACTGTTGGTTATGTTGTAGGTTTTACAAGAAGTATGGAAAAAAGCTTTGAAGGTTTTTATTATGTTTTTAATTTATGCAAAAACTTCAAGATATTTTATGTGTTAATAGTATAAAAAAGAAATAATAAAGAAGTTATGCAAATTGTGTAACTTGATAGTTACACAATTTAAGTAACATGGAATATGAATCCCATGAGTTAGAAAGTCAATTTAGCATAGTAGCTTGGTAGAGAATCAATTTTACATGGTCACTTTACAGTCAGCAAAATTCAGGTTGGCATTTGGCGATGCCGACGCAAAAGCCGACCTATCTTTGCTTTAGGACGGCATACAACTGCCAACCTGAATATTCTAAAGTGTCGGCATGCAAATTGAAATATTTTAAATAAAAAATTATAAAATAATATTGGTTAAATATTATTTTATAATTTTTTTTTTAAACCAATATTCATTGATTCTAATGAAGTAATTTTAATATGGTGTAAAACTTGACAATAGTATTCAGGACTTTTAAATAATTGTCATAATAAAAATAAAAGTTGTGCTAAATCAGCAATAGAAACGTTTGTACGAGGATTATCAGTTATAAAAAAACTAGCTTGATGATAATTAGACAGAAAAATCTGATAATGAGTAAATTATGAAAATACGTCAATAAGACAATCACCATTGCAGGGAAAATATGTTTATTGTGTATATAAGATATATATAAGATAACAATGTATATAAGAAAAAACGTTAAAAATACTAGAAAAATATTTTTAGTATTTTTAACTATTGTTTTACCTCCATCAATTAAATTTCAAAAAACATCACCACTACTACTTGAGAATTAAATGCTTATTTCTCGTAGAGGTTAAGCAACCGGATATAAACTGTCTACTCATTTTGTTAAATAATTTGCCGTTTTAAACAAAATCTTGGCCTGCAGCACGTAAACTAAATTTGTATTTCTAAACAATGTTCTTTCTACAAACAATCTAAAAAACTAATCAAAATGTAATAAATAAACTCTGACCATTTTTTTTGTAAAAAAAAAACAACAACTTTAAAACTAATTCATAAATTTGCTATATACTTAATTTACTACACAAAATTTAATTGCTACATTCTTTAAAATATTATTGTCTGAAGCTATGTTATTAGAAAGCAATCCTCTTATAATCAATTAATCATTACCCCTATCGTAACAGAAAGCATTTCTATAAAAATATGTTTTTTAGAAATATTAAAGGCAAATCACAGAGTATTTTTTGAGGATAAAGACGTTTCTTACACTGGAGTACCATTCATTGTTTCATCAAATGGTACACTTGACTGTCACCATGGCAAAGATAAAAATAGTAAAGCTAAAGCTCTGTACAAAATTAAAAAAAATACAGAAGCAGTAAGTAGTACAATAACCCTTTTAAGTTTATTTATCTCTTTTTTATTTTTGCTTCTCTTTATTACTAAACAAATTTTTGTTCTAAATAGGTTATCTACTTCTGTTTTATATTATAAGAATGATTTTCTCATGTTTTAAAATTACTTTATTCTTGTACAGAGTTCAGATCATTCTTTCAAAAAAAAAAGAATGATTCCACAAATTACCAAGAAGTTTGATTGTCCCGCCAAAATTTTTATCAAAGAAATTATTGAATTTCCTGAGTTTAAGGTATTGTACTCTTATTTATACATTAATACTTAACTTTTGATGCATGTCAATATTTATTATATTCATAACAATTTAATTTTGTATATATATGTATATATATATATATATATATATATATATATATATATATATATATATATATATATGTATATATATATATATATATATATATATATATATATATATATATATATATATATATATATATATATATATATATATATATATAGCTGGATCGAGATTCTACCAGGATCAGGAAAGAAGTTTCAAAAAAATTACATTCAGCTTTGATTTTAAAACAAACAGTTTTAATGTGCAGAAAATATATTTTGGTAATTCCTGCAATATCTGCTCATAGTAACCATCTAATTGGTGATGTAAGTAGCGCAGTTACATTTACTATTGGTCTTCATGTTTCTATTTATTAATTATTATTTTCCACTCTTCTAACTATTAGGCCTCAGGTCTTAATCAACCCTTATGTGAAGAACTTATTTTAAAAATTGGTGAGTTGGTCAGAACGGGTGTCAGTTCTGTTACTGAAATGAGACGTCATCTGAAGACCTTTCTTCAGATGGAATTTAATTCTAATAACATGCTGCAAAAGACAAACAAACGATTTTTCCCAAGTGATAAGACCATTGCAAATCACATGTTGATAGCTAGACGAAAACTTCGCAAGTCCATGATAGATCAAGAATGTCTTTGGGAAAAAATAAATGATTGGAAAATTAATTTTCAAGATGCAATGATAAAATTTAGACCAAAGGGAGGTAATTCAGAAGATAATGATCTTAAAAATTCTTTGTTGTTTGTATATCAAGATATATGGCAAAGAAGATTACTATTAAGATATGGGAATGAGCTTGCTTTTCTTGATGCTACATACCGAACAACCAGATATGCACTACCTCTTTTTTTCCTCGTCGTTAAAACTAACATTAATTACCAAATTGTTGCTATATTTGTGTGTGAACATGAAACCACCGAATCTATTAAAGAAGCACTTATGTGCATCAAAGAATGGAATCCTTTATTTCAACCAAAGTTTTTTATTACTGATTATTCTAATGAAGAAATAAATTCACTTGAATCTGTGTTTTCAGGTTAATAATGTATTTTGTTATTTTGTGGTTGTCAATGAGTTTACTTATCTTAATTACAATAAAGTTTTTTTCTCTATTTTTTTTAATTTTACTATTTACTGTCATTATTTTCATTTTAAGTCATTCTTGATTTTAAATTGATTTTAATTTTTATATCAAGTCATACTTGATTTTAAATTGATTTTAATTTTTATATCAAGTCATTCTGTCTTATGTAATTTAAATGTTTTTATTTGACTTAGGTTCTACAGTGTTTATTTGTGATTTTCATCGAGAACAAGCTTGGGAACGATGGCTTTCTAAAACTGCTAATGGATGTTGCATGGTGAAAGATGTAGTTAAAGATAAGCTTCGTGAAATTGCACATGCAAAAACAATTGAGACTTGCCAAAAAGCTGTTGAGGCATTGGAGGAATCAAAAGAGTGGCAAAACAACCCAAAACTTGTAGAGTATTTGAAAAGCACTTGGCTATGCATTCAAAAGGTAGTTAAAGAATGTTGATTATAAATAAATATTTTCAACAATCAAAAAAAATATTTTTTCTTACAACGATTCATACAATATTGTATCTATTGGTTAATTTCGACTATTGGTTTAATCATTTTGTTGTATTTTTATTTTATTTATAACAATTTGTTACTAAAATGTTACTAAGTGTTTATAATCCATTTCTTTCTGATTTCAGCGCTGGGTTGTTGCATATAGGAAAGATCGTATCTTGTTGGATGTCAACACCAACAATGGAACTGAAAGACAGAACCTATCTTTCAAATACAGTTTTTTAGAAAAAAGAAAGAATTCTTCTCTAACAACTATGCTTAGTATTTGCATAGAAGAATTTCTTCCTCACAAATACGACAAGTTAGTTTATACAACTGCTGCAGCAGCACAATTTTCCTACTCATAAATTCCTTTACTAATAAGAGTTCTAAAGTTGTTCTTTGTTATTCACTATACTTATTATTTGACTTAATCTGTAAAACTTTTTGAATATTAACCTGCTTTACTTGAGTTAACCAAAAATTAGAAATTATACTGAGTGATCTTTAAATAATATGATTACTGGATTTGTATATACCAAAACTCTAATTTTAAATATAATCGTTTTTATTTTTTTGCGATTGATTAAATTTGACCTTTTCTTTAATTTTATTTATCTTGTTTTAGTTATTGTGATGAAAATAGAAGAGCACATTCCTCACATAGAAAATATGATGATAAAGTTCCAGCATATTTGATTGATCGTCCACCATCTTTAGTCAAACATTGTATGGCATTGATTGATAAATTACAAGGTGTGGATTTGCGGGGCATAACTGCTGTGACAGACAAATTATACAATGTAGCTTCTTTTAATTCAAATAGTAGAGAGATTTACCAATGCTACCTTGGTGATTCTGAATGTCTGCCAGCTTGTTCTTGTCCTAGTTGGTTTCGTACCTCATATCCATGTAAACACTTTCTTGCCATTTTTCTAAAAGAGAATCTCTCTTGGTCTGCATTTGGCACTGCATATGCAAATTCTCCTTATTTCAAGCTGGATTTGTTTTTAGATGAAAATAGTTTAGCTCATTCCAATAAGGTTTCATTATATAATATTCAATATGAACATGTTGAACCGCTACACATATCCTCTCTTATTAAACATAGTGATAAGGAAGTTCAAAATTTTAATTATGTGCATGTAAATAGTAGTCAGAGTTTGATTGCTAAAAACTACAGTAATCATACCTCTGCAAGCTGTCGTGAGCTCTTAAATGAAATTAAACAAATGAGTTACTTATGTGACTCTCAACAAGCTATTGATAATTTGTTTGAAGGGCTTTGTCAACTTAAAACGCATTTAGCAGAAAGTCTTCCAGTAGAACAAGGAATTCTGCTGCGTCCAGAGATTCAACCTGATACTTGGAATAAGTCACACACAAATTCACCAAAACTTAGTCTTCTCCCTGTGCGGCGTAAAAGAAAAATGACTAAGCGTGTTGGTGTTAAATATGACAAATATAAAGCAGCTGCTAATATTAGTGTGATGGCTGAAAAGGAAAGTTATAGTTCTGAAATTGTCACAAGTCACTCAATTGATGAAAACTATGAAATTTTTATGGTTCCTAATGAATCAATTGATATCATGGAACATTTAACTGATGATAGTAACAACTCTGTTGATATGACTGTAAATGAAGATGTTAAACAAGATAGAATAGTGCTGCAAATTCAAAGTCTTAAATCATCTTTGATTGGTCATAAAGAACAAAATGATATCATAAAAGGACATATGCTTAATGATAACGTAATTCACTTTTGTCAGCAACTTATGGCAATTCAGTTAAATATTGATGTTGGACTGCAAGATCCCATTAAAGGACAAATTTTATCTTTTGATATCTATACAAGTACTCCATTTGTCCAAATTCTTCATGATGGAAATCTTCACTGGTTATGTGTAACCACATATGACTGTAAACCAGGGGAGATATATGTTTTTGACAGCCTTTTCCACGGTACAATCAGCTTAGAGACAAAAAGGCAAATTTGCAATATTTTGCATTGTCAAGAAAAAAATCTTGTTTTTAAAGTTTTGCCAGTTCAACAGCAAACAAATGGTGTGGATTGTGGTATTTATGCTATTGCCTGGGCTCGTCAGATTCTTGAAACAAAAAGTCTACCATCAACAAATCTAATGTTTGAGGAAAGTGAAATTAGAAGTCATCTCCTAAAATGTATATCAAATAACCAGATAGAGATATTCCCAGCAACTAAAAATCCTTTTTCCTTTAGAAGATGTGCTGCTAAGACTTTTCGTGTTCCTCTGCATTGCTCTTGTCGTATGTTTTGGGTGCCTGGAGACGAAGACATATATAACAGGTATGTTAGCACATATTAATGAGTTAACAACAAAATATTTATAACTGCAATACCTTATTTGGTATGCTGAATTTAACATATTTTTTTAATGTAGTAACAATGTAGTATAATGTAACAAATTTTTATAATGTATAATGTATTTATTTTTTTAAAGGCAAATGGCACAATGCTGTGCTTGTAGTAGATGGTTTCATCGTGAATGCGAAAAAATTCCACTAAGTGCCTATGAGCAGGAAGATGAAATTTGGAACTGTAATGATTGCCACAACCAGTCAAATAAATAATAATAAAACAATAATACTGTTATACAGCACAGGTATATAATTTTTAATATTACGGACTGTTAATGTCGAACAGTCATAATTACTTGCGTAACATCCAAATATACAATATTAAAAAAAAATGATTTTAGTTTAGGTTGATAATATTTAATTTATGCAGACTATACTTGATTTAATGTAAAACTTTTATGTTGGGAGGTCAATAACATTAACTGACCATAAACATTACATGTAGTATTATGTTACTTTATATAAATTTTATTTTATTATAATGCACGTACTCCACACAACAACCTTGCTTTGCAAAATGCCTAGAAAATACAATTCTTAAAATGATTTGCCATAAAGTAATACCACTGATGGCATTGTACTGAAATCCATGCCAAAATTTTATAATAGGTAAACTATATTTAACTATTGCTTCTCTCTTTTCAGATAATTGATTTGTTATTATAAAAATTTTTGTGAAACTTTTAAAAAATATTTTGAAATTAAAATTTGATTCATAATTTAAAATTTTTTATAAATTAGGTATCATTTCAAAATAGTGGTGGCCTCCATGTTAGCTTAATGATTGGTATTCTTGCAAAAGAATTAAACGGCATGTCATTAAAAAGAAAATGAAGATATCGAGCACGATTTCTTTTCGTAAACTTGAGACATGTATTTTATTTACATATAATTATAATGTGTGTGTATATATATAATGGCGTAGTAAGAAATGCTTTCTCTTCTTTATAATGTCGCGACTTTAAAAAAGACTATAAAAATTTAGTTTTCCTGCTTATTTAACAGTTGTTATTATGTACTAAATGTCTAAATTTATGGCCGTAGGCATTTCACGCTTTGCTTTATATAATTGTCATTGATATAATTATTAGGTAACATACAAAGTATTATTGCAATAATCCATTTTATTTATTTTTCATTTTACTTATAGTGATACCTATGGATTTATAGTGTTTATGTCTTTATTATAGACGTAGACGTTTATACTTTAAATAGCATGTATTTTTTAATTATAGCACATATATACGGCTATTCTTATACAGGTATAAACTGCCCTAATTGTTATGTTTGTGTCATTGTGCTATATTATATATTGACATTGAACTGCTTATACCTTATTAGATATCGGCATACTTAATATGTATAGCCTTTTTGTGGTATAAGCCGTTAGGGCGTCTTAGCTGAAATATATCCAAGTATATTTACTATTCTTAATGAAAAATGACAGTAAAATGGTTTTGCAATGTGTTACATATGAAAAAGCAATTTTATTTTTTTTTTTAAACAAAAAAAATTACTTTAAAGAGCGACACATTTATGCAATAGCTTATTGTGATTTTTTTGTCGTTAATTTTATAATATAAAATTTAATATTTTATTATATAGCATGATTTTATTATATAGAAAAGATGTATTATAGAAATATAATGAAAACAAGTTAATCTTTAATTCTGTGTTTTACCTTTGATATTTGATGGAAACGTTAACTACTCCTATTTCATTTAAATTTCAGGCCCCCAAATCGCTACATCCGCGCAAGTTAAAACAACGATGCAAGTAATGGCATTTAAATATTTCTGTTTTTTTAATAGAATTGCTTATAAAAATATATATATATAAAAAAAGGATAAACGCAAGTAGAGAGTTTGAGGTGTAATACCTGTTAAGTGGTTCGTATCGAAACTAGAAAGGCAATCTATTTTTGAAGAAGTCGTGAAAAGCCTATAGATACATATCTTGAATACATAGAGTATAAAATAATTTCTTTCACTTAGTCCGGTAATGATGATCAAGAACTCGTCAGCCGAAAATCAAGAGGCCTTATGTCCACATTTTGTGCTTTTTCTGATTAGGACTAATAAATATTCAACAATCAATTGAGTATGTGCCTAATAAATCTTGTTTCAAGAATGATACAACTTTAAAATATTTAAAAAATTAGTCGAACATTATGGCAGTGAGCCTTAGCAAATTAAATTTTAAAACTTGATTATCTCGGAAGTACGAAAAATGGACATACTTGGTGCTCGGCTAACGAACGGATTTATTTTACAATTATGCTGTTTTTTTATCATGCTGATACCACCTATTAAACTGTTAAAAATTGATCTCGCTATAGATATAACTTGCTTTAACAACCCAAAAACAAATAACGCATAATTACAAATAGTTTTTATAAACGTTATAACGTGTCAAAAATCAATCAAACAAATTAAACAATTTCGTAATAAAGGTCCAGTAATAAATTTCATATAAGAAATTTTGTAATAAATTTCATAAAAAATTTTGCACGAACTCAGTTGGACATTTTCTATTAAGTTTTAAGTAACTTGAGGCATTTTATTATGAAAAATAAAATTCAAAAACATTCCAAATTTATTTTGGTCGATTACAAATTATTTATAAATTGACTCATTTCATTCGCTAATCTCTTGTCTGATTGGAAGCCTGATATCTTGAAAAGCGGCAGTGCTAATAACTTCAAATTTTGAACATTTTGCCCCAACGCTTTAAATTGTTGCCTCAACGTATTAAATTTTTAATATTTTATTGACACAATGCGATTGATTGTATTGATTGATTAGTATTGAATTGAACAATGCCAAAATTCATGAGTCAATTTAAAATGAACATTAAACCGTCGTCCATTTATACTGTTCTGCATTTAAAGTTTTTAATTTATCACTGCGTTTGATCTTCTTAATTAATCCAAATTATTTTTAAAATAATTAGAGAATATGTTATTATTTTTTGATTATAAGAATCAACAGTGCAAATTGACTTAAGATAATCTTTAAACTTTATAAAATATGACAATCCTAAGTCCGTTTCGCTGTTCTGAGAAAAAGACATCTAAAGTTTTAAATTTAACCACTGCTTCGAATTTTTTTTATTAAATTCATTTGTTTTTAGTTATTTATTATGTGTTAAGTATTTTAAACTAAAAAAAATTCAAAGTTTAGATTTCGTTGCTGCAAAACAAAACCATTAAAATGGTTTTGTTTTGCAGCGACGAAACCTAAACTTTATAGTATTATATTTCAAGACGTATTTTAAACTAACTAAAAATTTAGTCCAATAAAATAAAAGGAAAAAAAAAACGAAATAACTTTTTAATTTATTTGTTATTTTGAAGCTATTTAGAATTTCGAATATTTGACATTTGACATAACCCTAACCCTAACCCTGACCGTAACAAAAAAAAAAAAAAAAAAAAAGTTAATTTCTGTATTGTTAAGACTACATACACCTAACAGGTGTATGCAAAATGGTTTACTCTCGCACTTCTGCTGCAGCTTATTCCTCTTGCTCCACACGAATGTGGCCCATAATTTTGAAAATGAGGCTGGTCAACATCGACTTTGGGCCCGGGGTGGCTATGCCGCCAACGTATGAAATCTTGTCTTGTTAATCCTATAAAATAATTGATAAAAGATTTTAATAAAACCGAAAATTAAATATAAAAATAATAATAAAGCTTTTGAATCAAATAAGTATACTTTGTGGTTGATTGCATGGATTTGATGCTAACGGTTCTACATACAAAATTAGAGAAGATATTACTTTTTCTATACGTCAATAAATATTGCTGTGGATATATATTATAAAGTAGATACTATACATCCACTGCATAAAGATGGATGGTAAACGGGACAAATACTGAGTTAATATTCAAAATATTATTTCGAATATATAAAATATAGAATGTTATAAACAACACATTCCAAAAACTTTGAAAAAAATTGAAAAATTAGTTAAGAAATTTAAAAATATAATAACATCTGTTCAACAACATCTATAATTCCTTTGGTCTAATAAAATCTGTGCAAAAATTAAAAGAATATTACAAATGTGGTTATATTTATTAAATTACCTAATTAAAGTGTAATAACATCTGTGCAGCTACACCTGTGGGTTCTACAGATATAGTTACATCTTTTAAATTATTAAAATGTAATAACATCTGTGCAACTACATCTGTGATGTAATGAAGTTATTTTTAAGATTTATTTTTAAGAATTAACTAATAATGCATTACTTTAACCAGATGTAGCTACGTGTAAAAAATTTTTCAGATGTAATTAGATCGGAAAAAAAATATAAACTAACAATCCATTATTTTAACCAGAGGTTATTACATATAGAGGTTTTTCAGATGTAACAGCATCTGGAAAAAAATATTAACTAATAATGCGTTATCTTAACCAGATGTTGTTATATATAGAAATTTTTTAAAATGTAACTACATCTGGAGAAAATTTATCCAGATGTTATTTATTGGACTCAGAGATGTAGCTACATCTTTCTAAAGATGTTGTTGGGGGTAGTTGAATTTTCAGATGATATTTGACAGATGTTATTAAAGTAAAAGATAAATACAGATGATCGTGGCAAAAGACAACTTGGACTACTCCACAGATGTTGTTGGACAGATGTAGTAATCTTTTACCTTAAATGTCACTCATCCAAAATACTTTATCAACTTTTAGAATTAGTGAATTTGCAGACATGAATTTCTTGTCACTAAAGATTTTGATTTGCCAGAAAATAAATAGTAATGCCTATTTGCTTTTTTATTGAGTCTATAAAAAAAAAAATACCTGTAAATTATTAAGTTTCACATGTACCAACCCAATTAAAAACTGGGTTGGTACACTTGTATAATTAGCTTTAAAAGAATCTCATTTTGTTAAAAAATATTGTCCTTTAGGAAATTTAATAAATTTTGAAAGTATTTTTTTTGTTTGATGCGAAACTTAATAATTTACAGGTATTTTTTTTATATTCTCGAACTCCTTCTTCATCTATTAGGCTGGCGTAGATGTAACCTGTGTTACATTGTTTCCTGCCTAGGATGATGAATGCTGGATCTCCTTGACACTACTCATAGAATTTTGCTTATGCCTCCTTGATAATGGCTATGCAACTCTTCTTGTTATCTCCATACAGCTCTAAAACTCAGTTTAATGGTTCTGAGGCCAGCTGGTAGTAAGGTTTCCTGAACTCTGTGGTAGCTCTCAGAGAGGCTGATTCCATCAACAGCTGCAAAATATCAGAGTATTAACAGTGCCATGTTGCGCATGGATTGTGTCCCTGTTAATGCTTTTGGTGTGCATTGTCAAGGTCACATAAGGAGCCCTATGTCACGGCTTAGGGTTAATTAACAGGACTGAGACAACTGCATAGCTTATTGATTAGGAGGCTGTGCTCTATCTATGAATAAGTCAAGTTCTCATTAAACCCGAAACATGACCAAAGTAACCAAAAATTTTAAATCTAAAAAACCATCCCTACCACCTAAATGT